TTCAGAAAGTGCTGTGCATTCACAGAAACATTTGCAGAAAGTGGAAAACCCCTCAGGATGCCTTGGCCGGGTTTCCTGAATGATCCACCCATCCCTTGGCTGTCTTTGGTCAGAATGAAGGCACGTCCATATTTCTATCTCACAGCTCAGAACTCCTGCTAGAAGTGAACTGGAAGGCAGAAGTGGTTTATAGAAGGATGTAATTTTTTCCACTCACGATTTGTAGCAGTGAGCAGCGGACAGCACCCACTGGCTGCTGATGAGGGAACCTCCACAGAAGTGATATCCAGAATTCAGGGACACCTGGTAGGGCACAGAGTGCTCTGKACAGGTGTAGCCACCCACAATCTTGTCATCATCATCTTCAGCGAAGGTGGGGAAGGCAACTGGGAGATAAGAAGTGCCATGTGTCAGCAGCTGTCCTAAGGGAACCTGGTGCCCTGTGGCTGTCTGCCTGAAGTCCCTCACTTGTTGGCTCCCCTTCTGTGGGCACTCAGGGCAGCAGTGGTGKGCAAGTCTAAGGCCCATTCATTTGCTGCYCCCTCRAAGAAGGGGATCAGACTTGCACTGGTGCCTCACATGTCTGCAACTAAAGCACTGCTGGCTACTCCCTGAGGGAGCAGCAGGGCACAGAAATGCTCGAGATGGATCAGATCACAAAGCTGTGTCTTTCCCAGGATTCTGTCGACTGAAACAATCAAGAGTGGACCGAGGGGAAAAGGAAAAACAAGTGTGCAGTGATATTTTTCTTGGATCACCCACCCAGGCTCCGAAATTTTGCAGTTGATTTAGGATCTCCTGGGCCAGAACTATTCCCTGGATACTCCTTAGTCCTGAAGAGGGAAGCAGCCTTTTTCTGAAGCTACGGCCACATCTCTGTAGCTGGGTCAGGAACACCTATGGAGGCGTTCATTCCCCAGCYGTGACACAAGCAGTTATGCACAGACAGGAGATGGAAATTGCAGGGCTCTGCCTTCAAAGTTCTGCCACTCAAAACTGGACTTGGCTTTCCCMCAATAGGCTAMCTTGTGATTTTGCTCATAAAATCAGCAWCCCATTAAATTGCAGAAATAGAAATAAAAAATATGCTCACCAGCCACCCCAATAAAGGCGAGAAGCAGCAGGCACTTCATGGTCTTGATTCTACCTCAAGCCCAGAGTGTTGACTGGAATTGGGAGCTGCTAGATATACGTTTTTGGTAATGGCCTTATCTCTAGTCCAAGGTTTTCTCCAGACAAAAAGTACACAGTGGAAAATTTGAAGATCCAAATGTGGCCATTSACARGYRTTGGTAGAATGTACAAATAATGTRCCCGTTAATCATAAACCTCTCCTTAGATAGAGAGCTATTTTAAATCATTCTGGAGGGTAGCCTTCAATCTAAAAATACATTATGGCTTTAGCAGATGAATAGTTGTTTGTCTGTCTCATTCTTATACACAGCACCTGTTGAGAACAACTCTCAAACCACTTTCAGATTCCTCTGTGCTGATGGTGTGTTTTTAAAAAAATGCAGCTTTTTACCAGAAGTTAAATATTGTAGGTAGTGGACAGAAAGATACAATGCATGTATTTGGAAAAAAAAAAATAGGCCAGCAAATCTCATAGTTAACTTTGAGGTGTTTATTTTAGCAAATTCCTTTTCTTGAATAATGTGTGTGTTTCTTTCATATGCAACGCAATGTTTTCCTAAATAAACTTCCTCAATTGTAATTTGAAAAGGGATAATAGAGGTATCCTGTGTCCCCCACTGCTTTCCAAATTAAATAGTTCAAATGTGGGAATGCTCAGCATCTCCCTTTTCAAATTTCTCTGTCCTAGCCTGTATTAAAGTATCTGCCTCTACCAATCTATGTTTTTGTACATCTTTGGAATGTTCTACAGAGACTCATTTTTGCCACACAAGAATTTCAGTATAATGCTGATGTTTYWGAATGTAATGTAGATGAGCAATAATCCTTTGRATACAAATAGTGAGATCTTCTGAAATCCCTCTTTGCAGGACTGAGGATTTCTGTCATGAYRCAAAGTTTACTAAAGCTTAATGCTTTGCTGAAGAATCATTTTCATTTTCYAAGCAGCTGCCACCTTCATCATGTCAGCTCCTGAAAGACACAGGACACCCTGCAGAGACAGTAAAGAGAAGCCATATGTTTGGAGATGCTGCAATAGCATGAGACACTAAACAGGAATACTCTTCCTGCTCCATTTCTTGGATATTTTTTTGTGGGCTGTGGAGGACTCATACRCACASTGCCAGTGTCCAGATGGAAATTTTCCTTCATGTTAAAGTACAAGTTGAAGGTCAGGGATTCCTCCAAGGGGCTGCATGAATTTTTTTGGCCTTTGAACTGGTGTAAGTGCACAGCTTTCTTACAAGCATGTTTTGTCCTGTGAAAGATAGAAGGATTAGAAGGTTCCTGTGGAAAAGAAAAATGTCTGTAATAGGACTGAGAGTGTCAAAAATTACCAAAGCTGTCCAATCCCATCATAACTAAGCACAGCTAGAAAAATTTCCAGTTTACAATAATTTTAGTTTGAAAATTCTAATTTCTTTCTCCAAAACATGCTATTGGCATAGACAAAGGCTGTCATCAGATGTGCTGCTGAACATTCCATAGACTCATTATAGTGTATTTTGCACAGTCTTACAAAGAACACACTCAGGGTGTATTCTAATAATACATCCATTATTGCAAAGGAGTTTCTCATTTCATGAAGTGATGCTGCAGTAGAAAGCCAGTGGCTCCAGAGACTCAGGAAGGGGATGGACTGGGGACKGAAGGGAAGCTGTGTCATGTATTACCAATGGACAAGCAATGGCAGCTAGAAATCCATGTTCCTAGTTCAGGTGTTTTAGTCAGCTGTATCAACACTGGACTCAGATAAAGGAAATAAATTTGTCCAGGCTGATGCAAGGTCCTGGGAAAGAGAAACCTGGTAAGAACGTGGGCTGACAGAGGTAAAGTTTCCTATGAGCATAAATCAGGAGGAGTTTCTCAGGGTAGTCCTTCACCTCACAGAACCTGGTGGTGGAGGATCCATTGATTGTCTCTTCCCAGCTGTCCCCTTTCTGGGAGAAGCTGGTGCATTCTCCAAAGCTTCTTATCCTCCAGCTCTCCACACCTGAACGAAACTGCTGTCACAGCCTCTTGCCTTGCTCTCTGTTGCCTGTATTTCTTTTTCATCTATGGGCACAATGCTTTTATTCTATTTCTGCCCTTGCCAGAGACATGGATACTCACTGTGCTAGTGGGAAAGCGGATCTAGGATGTGACAGGGATTTATAAAATGATGAGTGGCCAGGGGAGCCTGGGGAAGGATGGATTGCTTCTTGTCTCTTGGGGAGTAGCATGCAAAACTTGGAGGGGTGCCTGGTTCAAAACAAGCAATGGACACTTCCTCTATTTTAGATAATATGTGAAATCCTTTCCACAGGTTTTTATGGATGCAAAACATTTACATGGTCTCAAAAAGAGAAGAGACACATGGAAGAAAAATCCTTGGAGGGCTATATGGTTGAAGGACACCCAATCCAATCTCCTTTGTCCCAGGAATGGCCTGGTGTTGGAATGTTCCCTGTTACTACAGCCCAGCAAGAGACCAAAGAGTATTATGGATTTCTCTGGACTCTCACCCTTCATCCAGTGTTTCACCTGTGACCCAGGGAAGGACAGTCAGGGTTGTTCAAGTCCTTTATAAGTTTGGAGAGTAGAATGGGAGGGCACAGGTCAGGTGTGACCTGACAAAGATGTGTGTTAGAAGGTGGATTTATCTCACAGTGCTGCTGGGTTGTTCTTGTCCAGTTAGAGATGGAAATGGGGATAGAGCTTAAATGATGGGAATGTTTGCCCTAATGATTTTGAGTTCCAAAGCGTTTGCTGGTGAAGTAAAATTCCTGTCTTTCCTGGGCAACATAAAGACTGCTCAGAACATTGTTTTCCAACTTCTCTGTCTCTGAAAGGATAAATAGATAGAGATCCTTATATGTTCCCCTAAAGCTGGTTTCTGTATTGCTTCCATTATTATTTAAATTTGATCCAGAGAACAACTGATGATGATGTACATTTCCTCCTCCAGGCTTTGCACAAAATTTCCCTGTGTCCTGGAAATTCTCCAGTTGCCTTGGTATGATATTTTCCTGCCCTCTTCTTGCTCCCTTTTCTGAAGCACAGAACCCAGACATATAGAGAGGAACATGGCCAAGCAAGGCTGTGGTGACTAACATAGAGTCTCCAGTTTTGGTGGAGAAGGAACTGGGAAACTAGGAGAGGGAAAGGCAGAGTCAGAGGGAAGAGAGAGACTTTGGAATGGTTAAAAACCCTCCCTAAGGAGAGCTCCTTTTCTTTCACCACTGCTTTCTGCCACAAACTTCTGTAGTCATCCTCATTTTCTTCTTCTGCCATCTTCCTCCATTGTGTCTGCCACCTACTCCTTGTTTTTAAATTCTGCTGCCTTCTTCCATTGTCTTCTCTGTTGTCTCTTCCTTCTCTAGTTACGCTGCTTTTCTTCACCACTGTCAACTCTTTGGCTGATATGCTCTGTCAACTCTTCCATTGCCTTCTTCTGTTCTTCTGCTGTATTCTTTTGCCACCTTCTTCAGTTCACCTCCTCTTTCTCTTTTTCCACTCCTTCTTTTTCTGCCTCTTTCTGTCCATTTCTCTGTCATCTTCTACTGCACATCATCCACAGCCCTCTTCCTCCTCCTCTTCCTGTTCTTCCAACACCACATGTTCTTCTGCTACCTTATTCCACTCTGTTCTTCATCCCCTTTTCCTTGTCTTCTACCGCCTCCATCTCCTTTTCCTTTCTTTTGCCACCTTATTCCACTGTAACTGCTTCCTACTCTTCTAGTACCAGTAGCTCTTTTTCACCTGGAATATACAGGCCTCAGATCCTCTATCCACGGCTCTGAAAGCCTAGGGATAGACCTTGAGTCTCCCTTAGAGTTTTCTGTGAGAGGCTTGCTTCTGTAACCAACCTGGAAGATGGGAGGGAGGGAG